AAGGATCCCTGGTTGGATGGGAGGAAGCGGAAGTCGTGAGGCAAGTACACTCACCAACTTTGGCGAGGACGGCCGAAAAAATGGAGATATACAGGAGCAAACTTAAAGACGGATGCATTAATGCTAGGGATGCGGAAGGTCTTCCCTCGGCTTGGAAATTTGCCGTTAAAAAGCTTACAAGTAGCGCATCATCTGAAATATGATATTTAATTGATTTAAAGGAAACTTAGTATTAATGTTTAGTCGTTGTAGTATATTATTTATTATTTGGTATCGTTTACAATTTATTTTTATTCATATTAATTAATATGTTATTAGTTTATTGATATTTTTGAATTTTTGAACTTATTGTTCCATTTATGATGTATTCCATTTTCATATATTCGAACCTGATGATGATCCGTTAAGTGGATCGAAAACGTTCGTTTTTAATAAAACTCCCTCAGCAAGCAATAAGGTGTTGGTTACGTTATTTGTTTATTTTTGCTGGGTACGATTGTATTCAATATTGAATGATCTACCATATGAAGGGCGCCATTCAACATTTAACGACCATACAAGTTCAACAGGTTCAATACAAAATAGAGAATCAAGGTGTTAAGGTAGTATGTTAAAGGAATATATTGTAAACTCTCTCTCCGCGAGATAGGTAAAATTAAGGTTTAGTCTGTAAGGTAGATAGTTTCTTTGATATATCGATAATACTGTACTTCCATTTATTTGCATTCTCGTTTTAATTGTGTTTTATTTGATCATTTGTATATTATTGTATTTATCAGTCTATTCGTTATATTAAATTTATTGTTTATTTGTTAACAATGATCTCATTCATATCGATGCACTCCCACTTACATGAACGTAAGTCCTCCTAAAATTCGAATCCCTTTTTTCTCCTATCTGTAAGCGTGTTTATCCGCGTTAAAATACGTTTAACTGGTGTCAACATCCTGACAACAGACGCAATTGTGAAATCAGTCTCCGCATTTATACTAGCAGCGTAAGTCCCTCCACACTCGATATTTAGTAGTAAAACCATCCTTTTTCAAAAACAGAGGACTAGTTTAACAACTGGTAGCCGAGTAAGCTTTATACAAATCATAACTGTATTCTATATCCCCGGCCAACCTCACAATTTAAAATACGAACCAAAATTTAGAAAATCTATATTCAATTCGAAATTCGTTTTCGGAATATATTTCTGAAAAATTATTCCGATCTCGATTTCTTTCGTTCTTCGTAATTGTCGAGATGAATTATTTTTTGATTCGTCTCGTTTGCTAGATTTATCACATGACAAATATCAATGTAACAGGTGAAACAAATTAAAAACACGGATTGTTTTTTTAATAAGTTTTCTTAATTCACAAGACCTGGACAACAGTATAATACGTCCCAGAAGACACTTATATGATATAATTTTATTGAATAATTAATTAATAAATATAATTAATCAGTTTTTCTTATGAATTGACAAAATATGTTCTATCATACATAGCATTATATGTGTTGGTAAAGAAAAGCAATTGATAATTGAAATAATATCCTTATTATAATACGTAAACACTTCTAAAATGTTTATGTAATTACATTATTTATGCAAAACATTTCGTATCAAATAACTAAATGACATTAATATCGTTAGACGTCTTTATTAATGTCCTTGTTGGGAGAGATTCCAATTACTTCTGGTGAAGTGTCTGTGAAAGGAAAGATCTCGTATGCTTCTCAAGAAGCTTGGGTATTCAACGCAACTGTCAGAGAAAATATCTTGTTCGGAGAAGAATATCAAGAAGATAAATATAGAAAAGTCTTGCATATTACTGCGTTAGAAAAGGTAAGATAATTTTTGAATTTATTATTAAAACTTTTGCATCAATACGTGGGTTCTAGACGAAAATTTGTTTATGAACTGCAAGGTAATACGAAAATGATCTGTTATGTACCAAATTGCGATTACGTTACGACTCAATTGTATCGCGTTTTTTCTTAGAAACTTGCCATAGTTTAATTTAAGAAGTTAAATTATTAGAAAGTACAAATTATGTGGAGTAGAACCTCGAAAACTCGGCTCTCGATAACCCGGCTCTCCGGATAACTCGGCTACACCCTGGCGGGGCAAAAAAATCCTTAGTTAATTAATTTTCATTATAGACAGCTTTATAAAAGTATAAAAGCTCTCATAAAGTATTTTTCTGAGGTCTGTCTTATCAGGTAAATTACTGTACACAGTGTATTCATTAATTTTCATTTTCATGTAGTAAAGGCTGTATGCCTTCATAAAGGACGTACCTTTCCTTTGTTTAAGGATATTTGGGCAGTTTATTCTCTGTTGTATTCTCAAGTAAACAATACATACAAGTACAGTACAGAATTTTCTGAGGAAACACTCGTACTTATTTTTTTTAACCCCATTCCCGATAACCCGGCATTTTCACAAACTCGGCCGCCCTTCGGTCCACAATAGGCCGAGTTTTCGAGGTTCTACTGTATTTGGTTTTTATACTTTAATGGGTTTCTGTTAAACATGAATGAAGTAGCAATGTTAAATACATTAATTATTATAACATTGCAATACGTGTATTAATAGCGCAATGCGTAGTAGTAGTAGTAATAGTAGTCCATCGAATGCCAAATTGGACTTCCTAGCATACTGAGACAGCAATTACCTTTCATTGATTTTGATCATTGGCGAGGGCTTTAGCTTCCTACCAGGTCATATTGAGCATCTTCTAATCTTGATGAAAAGTTTTATGCCAAGTATTCCTGGGGCATTCTCCTGGTAGTTTCGCATCAGGGAAAGCTATTTCATGGCTGTATTAGGGAGCCTGTTGTTCTGCAAACAAAAAATGTAGCCAGCCAGAAAGACTTTTCTATGGGCGCAAAAGTTATGAAGTTTGCACATCCCACTCCAATGAATCGGTTCATTGATGATGTGATCTAAATATCAATTAACATCATGTCGTTTATCCTGATTCCAATTTTGTGTCTTTTTTGACCCAATGCTTGTTGTAGCATTGTCTCGCCTTTGTGTAACAAGGCGAGACAATGCTACACTGAGTGGTCAATGCTTTGACCACTCAGTGCGCAATGGGGCCCCATTGCGCACACCGGACCCTTCTTCCTGCTGCATGACATAAACAAGGGCGATGAGGAAAAGGAAAGGTACAGAACACAACACTGCCCGACTCCTCTCAAATTTCAAAGAAGTCTGTTCTACTATCGTCAGTCTAGATGGAAAAAATTGAATGCAGAAATTGGCCTTGAATATGATGAAAATGTTTGTCGGTACACCATATAGTTGCAGGATCTGTTAGAGGGACTCGTAGTGAACACTGTCAAAAGTCTTCTTAAAATCAAGGAAATTGATGACAAATGGGTTTAGATACTCAATGCCTTGTTCGATGATATTTCGAAGGTAGAATATCTGCCACTGTACGATCTTTTGTAGCAGAACCCAACTTGCTCCTCTTCGAATTGTTGATTGAGAGAAATCCGCAGGCGTCGAAAGAGGACCACACAAATTGCCTTTCCAGGCACAAAAAGGAGGCTAATACTTTGCCAGTTGTTACACTCGGAGATATCTCCTCTCGTAGGAATTCTGACTATAAGGATCTTCTGGTACCTACCCACAATACCAGTTCCTGTTAAATAATAACGCTAACTTTTCCAACAGGGACTGCCCTCCATACTGCAAAACCTCAGCCATAATTTTTTCAGAATCGGCTGCACTTCTATCCTTTAGACTCTTAATCGCAAGTACCACTTTCTTAAGGGTAATATCACCAGTGTCCACCTGAAGCTCACCCTGTGTATCCTCAATATCGAAATAATGTATGAAGGACGGTTCCGCATGATTAAATGTTTTCTGAAAATCTTCTATCCACCTCTTGTTCTGCTCATCTTGGGCCATCAGAAGCGTCCCGTTTTTGTGTTTTATTAGAATGCTGGGTTATTTTTCATCACAGTCAGTTCATTGATCATGCGGTACAGAGTCTTAGAGTCATTCCAGTCAGAAACGTCTTGCGCTTCAGCACCCTATCGTTTTAACTATTCCTTCTTGTCTTTCTGACAGTTTTTCTTTACACGTCTTTTTATCTCGGTGTATCTTTGGCTTTCTTCCTTCATCTCACTGATTTTTTAGCCTGAACTTTTTAAAGCTTTGCATCTTTTCTCTCATTAATCATCATACACGAGCGATCACATATCTACTGATCATTTTTTCGTCCTCGACATCTTCCAATGATGTTTTGGGTGCACTCCATGGCAATGTCTCTGAGGTTACCCCGAGATCTATGCAGTAAATCTGATACCTCTCGAAGAAGGGGAAAGAGATTGTGCATCTCCAGAGTAAATGCTTCGGTGATGATTACATAATTTAATAATAGAATCATAATTTCTCTCGCGCCGAATGTCGTTTCAGCATGAATTGCTTTTAATTACGATGTTTGAGCTTAACTTGGGCATGGTCAGATCTAATATCTGCACTTCTGTAAATCCTTACATCGTGCAATGCTGACCTCCACTAAATAAAGTAATAGAAATAAATAATACAAATAAAGTCTAACTCATTAAAACTGCTCTGTCTAGTAAAAGGCAGGTTTTCTTATGGATAAGCCAATGCTGAAAGTAAATGTTTTCAACACATAATTTGTAATGTTCACAAACGATGTTATTCTTTCTCCATTGTCACTCATATAAACAGAGATGCATATGCAACAATTACAGTCTCAAGTCTTCGACAATCGCCGCCCAATTGAACATTTAAGTCTCTGATCAGTATCCTCAAATCATGATTCGGGATACTGTCTTCGAGCTGCTCATAAAATTCATCTTCTTTTGTGTCCTTTACATCGTTAGTTGGTGCATACACTTGCACCACAGTCGCTTTGGCGTGTTTATAGATAAAACGAACGGTAATAATACGATCACTGATGGGCCTTTGTGAAAGTAGTGCTTTCATCATTCGTTTACTCAGAATAAGACCTACTGCACGTTTCTGCCACTCTACATTGTTCATGTGCAGAATGGTCTTGCCATCACTACTGATTCGGCCGTTTGTCGTTCAGGTAACCTCACTGATGCCAAATATATCGAACCGGTTTTCATTAAATGTCCGTAGTAGGTGAGCGAGTCTTCCACTTTGATATAGAGTTTGCACACTTCCCGTTTCAGTTTTCGTAAGATTTCTGGCAAAAAATATCGTTTCGGATACCGTTCGCTGGTTTCATCCGACGCTGTCATATTACTTCAAGCCAAACTTCTGCTGATTCAATCGAAATTTTTGTTTACTTTGCTGTTTCCTTACCACTTAAAATTTTTACTAGTTCGGCAATACCTTCAATATAATTTTCGTGCATTTTTCTTTCAATATACGATTAGTAAAATAAAATATTTTAGTTCATTAAAAACACGGCATTAAGAAAGTAAGAGACTTCTGACAGAAGATATACCACAGGAATAAAGGAAATAGGAATAGGAATAAGAATAAAGGAAATCAAGTATTTTTTTTTAATTTGGCAAATGTTCTGCTTTAGAATGCGAAGATATAAAACTTTGTAATCAGGGCTGTCTTTGTTCTTTGTTCTTTTATGTTAAAATTTATATTTTGCCTTTTGCATAAGTTTTTTTAAAGTCAATTATATATATTTCAATTATTACATTTAGAATGGAATCAAACTTAACTTGTCCATATTCAACTTATGCATGCTGGAATACTGACAGGATAAATTACAAGCTTGCGCTTCGATTCACTCGAATGCGAGTCAAAATGAAGAATATAAAGTATTTTCGATGAAAGGTCTACATTCTATCTACCTTCATCTTCCCCATTGGGCCCCCCTCTATTGTAGGCTTGCCTGATCATGAACAACGTGAGTGAACTGCTCACTTTGTTCTTCCGAGTAAAAATTATTAATAGCAAAGGAAAATTAAAGGAGGAATTGCATACTTAATTACTTACTTCAGAAAGTATAGCCAAATAATTTCGGCCATACTTCTCTTTATATTTTCGATTTCTATCCTTATTATGCGCAATGAACGAAAAACTGATATATCGATTAATATAGTCTCTCGGCATGTTAAAACCATGTACTTTTTAATGTTTTTGATGCCCTTCCTTCGATGTAGTGAAGATCGCAAAATTTCAAAATTGCACGAAAAAAATTTTTACATAGAGCCACAATAAAAATCAGTGGGGTACAGTAATACTCCCTACAAGTAACGGCGTAACTTTTATTAGCGCGACTAACCGAGGTGAGCCGATCTGACTTATAGTTTTGAGAAAACACTTATTAGTTGATATCGAGTCAGCCATGATAGAAATGATCAATCAGAGCATAAAAGGCATAAAAACAGGATTTTTAAAGCCAATACACGGCAAAAAATTTTCCCATAGACTTAGCATTGAAAGTTTGAAACGTGGAGTTTTTTGAAGATATTTATTGCTAAATTGCGTTGAAAACATGTTTATTCGTCTAAATACTGTCAAACGACTTATCATTAGCAAATTAGAAGTGAAAAAAAAACGATTATAACACGAGATTTTATTGCGATTGTTCACATACTTTGATGTGGTAGCCCTCGAGGGCGTGGCATTTCGCGGGAATATTTCCAGCAATTCTTTTTATAGGTGGATCTAATAACAGACATATAAAACCAATTACAGTGTAAAAGAAGTTTACTATCATTGTTATATGCCAATAATCTCCATTTTACGTCTAGTTGCTGTATGATGTTAGATGGTGTATTTTTGGAAATACTGTGATATTTTTGGCCTGGAGTTGGGAACAGATAATTTAATTGTTGTGGCAGTTAAAAACACATACAGGAAGAAGAATGAGAGCTTAGATAGCATCAGACTTGTTGACAGTTTGTAAAATACACTTTTGAAGTTGACAATTTTTTTTGAAAAATTCCTAAAAACAGGAGACTTTCTGTTTTTCGTTAGAAATAAATAAAAACGATATATTTAAAGTATTTTTCTTGATTAATACATCAAAAACACATGCCCACAAACATCCAAAATAAAAAAATCGCTAAAAAAACTATGAGTTTTGAAAAATTTAATTTTGAAACAGGGAGAATATAGTATCTCGCGGGCCTAACTTCGCGAGAGTAAGGCTGCGCGCTTAACCACGAGTTAATAACTGGCCATGTACAGTACTTGGAAATTACTGTAATAGCAAATTTTCGGTTCATTTCATTATGAGCGGGCACTTCGTCAAAGTGGAAAAGTGATCACTTTTGAGTATATTTTTCTCTTAATACACTCGTTGCATAAGATTTCGCTTACCAAGTTGTTGTCATATCAATACGAAATATGGTATGTAAATAACTCCCAAAAACATATGGAAAATTTTACAGGTATAGCATGATAGCTCGTTGTGTAATGCCAGCAGAGATCATTAAAGTGCATTCTTTTGTCGTATAAAAGTGCAAATGCATCCTGTCTGTACTTCTCCTGTTGAAAAAATTCGGTATCCCTAAAGCAGCTTTTATGTCACACTCGAAAACTATTTGAACAACTAACCGAGTTTGAGAAGAAAAAATCATTGTGGTAAAAAAGCCAGATGGTCAACTTGTCGATTAGCCTGTCATCCGAACCATTCAAAACAACTGTGAAAAATTGCTAGGACCAGTAGATGAGAGAGAGCAGGTACACACAGCTCCCATGCTGAAGGCACCTTCGCAGACCACTATTCTCAGATGACCCAAAACACACCTGTTTGTCTTCGGACCTGTTTGTTGTCCATTATCCGAACACGGGTGGCATTATTACTACAGGACGCTGCGTCTCGCGGTACCATTTCGAGGCCCCAGGATAAGAAACATTTGGTATTACTGCCGCTATGACATGAATTAAAATTCACACCATCCTTCTGATTATCTACTACAATCAATTTAGATTCAATTTCAGCACTGACGACAGCCATGTTTATGTTAATCCCCCTATATTTTGTGCAGCATATTGCCCTTCAACTGGAATAATAGTCTGGGGTGTAACGACAGTAGGTCACTTCTAGTAGCTATTCAAAAGACCACCACAGCCCTGCAGTATGTTTGTGACATTCTGCAGCCACATTGTTGTCTCTTATGACAGGTCTCTGAAGAGCCATTTTCCAACAGTAAAATTTTCGAACACACACACGGCAACACTGTCAGTAGATACAGTCTACTGTCAGTAGACTGTATCTACTGTCTATACTGTATGTACAGTCTACTGTCAGTAGACTGTATCTACTGACAGTGTTGCCGTGTGTCTACTGTCAGTAGACTGTATTTGCCATATTCCACACTTTCCTGGCATGCACGATCCCGTGATTTGTCACCGATTGAACATGTCTGGAATCTAATGGAATGCAATATTAAAGTGTTCAGGAATTTGACGAAATGAGGGAATTATTTGCAACAATTGTGGACCGATATACCGCCAAGAATCACACCGCACTCGTATGCCTATATTCCTGCCTGAATCACAGAATGTATTCACACTAGAGATGTCCTAAAAGTGCAGTTTTTATAATATTTTTCATTTGTACATTTTCTTACAATAAATGTTTTTTTTTTTTTGCTTTCATTTTATAATCACTTACTTATGTCTCCATTGCATTCATAACGTACAATTTCATTCCATTTTGACAACTCCTTGCTGCACTAACTTCTAAGGAAACGAGTGTATGTTAATGACGTTTTGTAATACTTGTAATTAGCGAGGTTGAGGCCGAAGTTTTAAACGCGAAAACGTGTACGTCGGACGTTCAGCGCTGCTTTTCTGTATGAGCCTACAAGTTTGACAATGGTTCTTGTATAGTCAATGGAATCATGCTCGAGACTTTAAACACTATTTTCAAACTCTTAGGCTAAGAGGAAAGCAGCGCTGAACGGCCGACATACACGTTTTTTGCGTTTAAAACTTCGGCCTTAACCTCGCTATTAATTTATATTTTCTAACGTTTCAATAAATTTCTTTATAAGTAATTTTTAGCTTCAATAGTGTAGGCAATGCAAATTTTATTCAAACTAAACGTGACTTGTAAAAAAATTTATTCAACGTCTAGCATTTATTTATTTATTTATTGTAGGATATTAAATTATTTCCGAATGGAGATGAGACAATTGTAGGAGAACGGGGTGTCATGATGAGCGGTGGGCAAAAGGCAAGAATTAATTTAGGAAGGTAAGATCGATCTTTCTTAATTATTGTATTTCTAGGAGTATAAACATGAAAATACAATTTTAATAGGAATAAGCCAGATGCACTGTAATAATAAATAGATTTTATGAAAATCAGATTAATTCTTCTAAGTAAATTGATTTTTAAATTAATTATTATATCCTGATGAAAACGTTACTAAAAAACTTACATTAATTTAATGAGCTGAAAAAAATATTATGGTTTGTTTAGTTTTTCCAACAAAAATAGAACATCTAGTGATTTCCTAGAAATTCTATATTAATTTCATGTAACAATGATGAAATTTTCTTGTAGGTTTGATTGCAAAATATCAATAATTATCGCACAAGTTTAAAGAAAAATGATTAATAGACAAAACAGTTATAAATTATTATAAAAAATAAAACTCTAACATTAATCTAAATATATGAAATTACTGACAACTATGTGCAATTGTTTGACGTGTACTTTAAGGTAACAAAACAGTTCAAAAAATAAATAATGAATTGAAGCCGAGCTTCAGAAAATCAACGGCACACAATGTTTTGAGATCAACAGACAGTGTTTCTTTTATCAAAATTAAACAACTTCGATTACAAGCTGCAAGAAGCAACTTAGAAAGAGGAGAAGGGTGGCAAAAATTGATTTTCTCGGATGATAAAAAGCGAAAACTTAACGGATCTTATAGTTTTATCTATTATTGGGCCAACAAAAGACCAATACTATATCAACTAGCTTATATTTCAAGTATATTCTGTTAAATATAGTTAGAGAATATGATATACAGGGAAGACGTCGAACTGTAAGAGGAAATTAATCAAAAAGTGATTAAGCTTACGGATTCAGTTCGTACAGGTTTTATAAAAAGATATGTCGAGAAAGTGATATAGATTGAGAATAGGAAAATACCAGAAATAAGATGGAGGAATAAATTACCATTCATCTTATTAAACCAATTTCAAGTTCTGAAAAAGGTTAGAGAGGTCTTTGAGAAAGTTCAAACTTTGATTTGTCTTATGCACTGTCATGGAAAACACAAAATTAAAAGAAATATATTAAAAAAGTAACAGTTTTTTTGCTTGTAACACACACTTTTTGGTGAAGGTCTATGTGAGGTTTCGAAAAATTGTAGGAGGTCGACGATGAAAAACGTTTGCTGACCCCTGCTTTAGAAGATTGTATTGAACGAACAAACTGCGAATGGACTAATATAAAAATTATTGAACACACTAATAGAAAAATTTAAAAATTGAAAAAGACAAGCTAGCCAATGAATAAAGTTTGTCCAATAATTATCGGGACTGACTTTTTCCTTCCTATGAGAATGGATGGAGGGCAGTCTTTATGAGTGAAATCGGTGGTAAGGGTTGTCACATAGGATACGAGAACCGGCTCAATTGTCACCGAGCCTTTGGAATGCGTAGATCTTGCCGAAAGTGAGAGTGTGTTTGCGCTAGCTTTGAGAGTCAAGATGCAACAAAATATCGATCAGCGATTTGCTATTAAGTTTTGCGTTAAATTGAACAAATCCGCTACTAAGATTTTTTAGGTTTGCTTTTTAGGTTTGAAGAAAGATCGCCGATACCTGGATGCTCCATTACGAGGACGAACCCAGTCACATTTTAGTAATTGTGAGAGGGACACTAGCCAAACACAACGTTTTAACGCTTCTTCAACCACCCTGAAGTCCAGATTTGGCGCCCTCGACTTCCTTTTAATTCCTCGAATCAAAAGGAACATGAAGGGATCGGAACGTTTGAGGCATTCCTGGCTGCTTTGACAGGATGCTAAACAGCCTTGCGGTTGCCTACATTCAGGGGACATAAGATGATTGGATACAGCATTGGCAGCGATGTATTGACGCAGGATGATCGTAAAGCCGGAACAAAAGAGCAGAGATGCCAAGGTTTTTTCTCTTTGCAAAAACACTCAAGCTCGGTAAAGAAATAAGACCGGTAGAGGAAAAATGTAGAAGACTAATACATATAATATAAAAGCGATTCCAAAAATATATTATAACCAATCTTGAGGTCAATATATTGCTTGCACAGAACCAAGGAAAATTAGTGAAAGAATTACAAGACCTCTTGTTAATAGATGAAGAAACAGGGAGAGTAATAAATTTTGGGAATTCGACTTTCAATATAAGTATAATCTTGTTTTGCAGCATTACTTGATTTCATGCTTCAACCATCTCCGGAATTAGATAATTACTCCAATGACATGATGCAATTAGCAAGATTAGTATGTTATGAATTATGTTTTAGCTTTAATAACCAAATATACAGACATAAGAGAAAAAAGTTTCCATGGTGGAAACATGTTACGATTGTTATGTGAAATGGTGTTTCGAAAATTGAAAAAATTGTTCTATATAACTTGTTAGCAGATATTAATATATTATAAAAGATAACCGGATGGTGTATGTATAGTTTTGAAGATTAACAAAGGAATTACTGAATTTATTGATAAGTTTAACAGTAAAAAAGATGGGCTGTCATTATAGACAGAACAAAAAATCATACTGCAGCTACATTATATAGTTATAAACATAAAATTTAATAACTGAAAGATAATCTCAAGTGTGTACATTAAGCCAGCACACAGCTTAAGCCAGTACAGCCATTAAGCCAGTACAGCCGTTAAGCCAGTACATCCCATCCAATTCAAATGACCGTTTTCAAACAAACTAGCCTGCACTCCATCAGAAGATCTTTTTTATATCGCCAACACCACGGCACTGTCCAAGATAACTTGAACTGAGGGCTCTGTATTAAAATGTGAAAAGACAAACATTTTTAAGTTTACACACTATTTAGCAATAGCTCTCAATGCTGAAAAGCTTGAAATATTGTATATAAAAGCAGATTTAAAACAAATGCATTATTGCAGGAAATGCTAACAGCTTAGTAGCAGCATGGAGTTACATTGTAAATAATAAGTTTAGAAAAAACTTGTAACTAACTTATTTTTATTATATATTCTTATGTTTTTTATTTTGCGTTTAACTGTTATTTAGTATTTACGTTAATTTTCAATTGTTTTCGCTTTACTTTCAAATATTTAAACTTTGTTGCTTTACAAACATCTCCAACCCGATATACAATATAGCTACAACCAACAGACTGCCGAAAATCTATCGGGCTAGTTTTATGCTAATTATTAGATAAATTACGTAATCAATTTGGTACTAGAGGTAAGCGTTAGGCNAAATGGAACAATAAGTTCAAAAATTCAAAAATATCAATAAACTAATAACATATTAATTAATATGAATAAAAATAAATTTAAACGATACCAAATAATAAATAATATACTACAACGACTAAACATTAATACTACGTTTCCTTTAAATCAATTAAATATCATATTTCAGACGATGCGCTACTTGTAAGCTTTTTAACGGCAAATTTCCAAGCCGAGAGAAGACCTTTCGCATCCCTAGCATTAAGGCATCCGTCTTTAAGTTTGCTCCTGTATATCTCCATTATTCGGCCGTCCTAGCCAGAGTTAATGAGTGTACTTGCCTCACGACTTCCGCTTCCTCCCATCCAACCAGGGATCCTGCGCCATCTGGGCCAATATTGTCGTATTAGACCCTTTTCTAGCATCACACTTGTGTTCCCTAATCCTTACCCCGAGGTTTCTGGTAGTAACTCCTATGTAATGTTTTTTTATTCCTAATAGCTGGTTCTCGTAGGGAACCTTGTAAACACCTGCCTTATTTTCTTTTTTAATAACCCCTTTATCGTTTCTAAGAATTTTATATAAATTGGGAGCTCTTTTCAAAATCACCTTTGAACCTTTAACGCTTGCAATTTCCTTCATAATTCCTCCTAAATATTTGTTGAATGTAAATTTTGTGTACTTAGATGGACCTTGTCTGGAGCCTTTATCATTATTCTTCTCAAATTTTTTAACAATACCCGTTATAATATTTTTCTTATATCCTAAGGCTTCTGCTAACTGTGTGATCCTTTCGATCTCAGTAACCCGGTCTATAACGTTGTCGCAGTATAGAAAAGCCCTTCTAACCAAGGCACGAAATGCTG